CACCTGGAAACAGCAGAATAGAAGAAAAAGAACTGGAGAAAATCAAAAAATATAAAGACCTGTAAACAGAAGGAGAACAACCATGGGAAAAGAAAGCAAAGATAGTACCAATAGTAATAGGAGCCTGAGGTGCAATCCCAAAACATCTGGAGCACCATTTGAAGACCATCGGCATAGACAAAATCACCATCAGTCAATTGCAAAAGGCAGTGTTACTTGGAACAGCTTATATCCTGCGACGATACCTTTAACACCATCAAACAACATCTGCCTATCCCAGGTCCTTAGAAAGGATTTGATAGGTGAATAAAAATGCCAAATCCAGTCTAAACATCTGGCTGACTGTGTGACCAACCATAATGATGATGATGATTTGTTCTGCAAAGTTGTTCCAGCTAATTGTTCTGAAAAAACCAACATCCAGAATCAGAAATAACAGAACAGAGGAAAATCACCACCAGTCAATTGCAAAAGGCAGTGTTACTTGGAACAGCTTATATCCTGCGACGATACCTTTAACACCATCAAACAACATCTGCCTATCCCAGGTCCTTGGAAAGGATTTGATAGGTGAATAAAAATGCCAAATCCAGTCTAAACATCTGGCTGACTGTGTGACCAACCATAATGATGATGATGATTTGTTCTGGAAAGTTGTTCCAGCTAATTGTTCTGAAAAAACCAACATCCAGAATCAGAAATAACAGAACAGAGGTTAGCAGATCAAGTTGATTTATAATATGAAATAAAGTATTCACAGAAGTAGAATTGGAATAACTGCAGAGGTCTACCCAGGGTAAAGAAACTGAAGCCTTGCCAGAAGTAGCTCAGACTATAGAGGCAAACCAGGGGGAGTCGGTAGTAGAGGAAGCCAGCATAGCTATTGAATCATTTTCATTCCCAAACCAGGCGCTCTTTCCTCTGCCTTCTCCTCAGAAAAAATAAAGCCCTCTAACTACACAACAATATTGACAGGTCGATAAAAATGCCAAATACAGTCTAAACAACTGGCTGACTATGCGACCAACAACAACAACAACAACAATACAAATTATATCAGTTGACCTGAAACTTAATATGGGAAATGTAACATACTGATAATACTGTTAGTTCAAATTAATCCAACAAATTAAATTTATTTTACCAAGCTTTGTTTTATTTTCACTATGTAATCAACTGAAGTTTTTCAGAAAAAATGAAGAATCTCCCCCCCGTAACAAACAGGTGTTCAATAATTGATCTTAAAACTTGCCCATTATTTACAGACCTGTTTATTCTTGCCTGACTCTTTGTACACAGGAACACCCACTATATCTTTGTCAATTGCTATAAAAAAGGCCTGAAATCTTAGTGTTATGTTAAATCTTTGCTATAAAAGCAACAGCTGAGGGCAAAGAAGAAATAAACAAAGAACCACAACAAAACAAAACAAAACAACCTTATGAAGTATTTAAGCAATGTACAGTTGAAACAGCATTTTATCAAAACCTTATAAATTTATAAAGTCTCAGCATCAAACAATTTTGATAGATTTTTGAACATGCGGTGTATTATGAAAATGTATTTAGTTTAATGCTAAATTTATATGCATAAAATGATATTGATTCATTTGGTTTCTGAAAAAAATTACATTCACAGTGGGAACAATCACCTATTTGTGTGTGTTTAGCAACAAGTCACTTAACCACTACTGACACTTAATTTGAAATGTAAAAAATGTGCAGTATGATTCTCACAACATTGGAAAAAAGAATTTAAGAACACATGACATCAGATGCATCTGTGTGTAAGAAGAGAGCTGTTGTTATTCTGAACTCTCTTTCTATACAAGTTTCAGTATTTTATGTAAGTCCTATATTTAAATAATAATATTTGAAGAATAGTAAATAAGATGGTGTATGATGAAACAAGAGATATCAAACGTGTCAATTACAAAAAATATGAGGAAAAAAAAATAAAAGAATAGCTGTATACCTTCCTCAAACAATTTTAGACCAGCAGCTATAGCTTCATCCATTGTATCCGTTGATTCTATCAGCTACAGGAAGAAAATGAGAAAAATATTTTTCTAAATTAAAATTATTATTTTAAATTTTTGCTGTGAAATCCTATTCATCTTTATTTGGAAGTGCAAAGAGGCATCTTAGAACAGAATTTGTGGAAAAACATAATATGGCATAAATATTTTAATAATTAATCCATAAATCATGAAAGATAGGTTGGGTAACTGCTTGAGTTTGTAACTTGCTATGGACAGATATGGACAGCTTACCCACAATGATCTAGTTCACTCAAGGTAAACATAATATCTGAAGTGGGACTTACGTGATTGCAATTTATTTTTAAACATTACAACTACCTTAGCCAGACACAACATTATGTATAACATTAATTCACTGTATTGCTAAACTGGATTAAATAAACCTGGGAAGATAATGTATAGACCTCATTAATTGTCTAAAAGACAATAGGTCACTAGAGCCATGAAAACCCAAGTCTATCTTTTGGGGGGTGGGTTGTGCTAGGATTAGAAATGGCATGCTGCAAGGAAAGAGAAAAACTGCTGGGTTGCTCTTTCTTCCCAGTGATCTTACCAGATGGCTCCCCCTTTCACCCAGCAACCCTTGTAGCATGATCTGCTGGGAAGAGCAGACCAGGTTTCCTACCTACCTCAACCCCAATAACAACAAAATGCTGGATTCTCATACTGGGTTTTCAGGAGTCTGCAACCAATTTTACTAGAGAAGGAACCCTGCCAGTTTCCTCTTCTATCAAGTAATTCTGCTTTAGGTTGCTTTGAAGGAGGAGGAATTTCTTGGCTTCCTGATCTGTTGTCCAGCAAATTAGCTTAGTTTCCCACCCTTTTCTAGTAGCCATACCTCAAACTCCAACACTGGAAACTCAGTAATCTCCAAATGGCATTGCTGTAGAGTGTGTGTGTGTGTGTGTGTGTGTGTGTGTGTGAGAGAGAGAGAGAGAGAGAGAGAGAGAAAGAATGTGCGTATATGTGAAACATCACTGTTCTCCTCTTCCTAACATTCTGATCAAGGTTGTTGAAAAGCAAGGAAAAGAGAAAATAAGAAATCTCTAGAAGAGATTTATCTTCAAACATTCAAGAGATGTATGTGGATATTTCCTGGTAAATTAGAT